CCCGGCCCGGCGCGGCGGCAGGATGATCAAGCTGTTCTCGCTGAAGCAGCAGAAGAAGGAGGAGGAGTCGGCCGGAGGCACCAAGGGCAGCAGCAAGAAGGCGTCTGCCGCGCAGCTCCGTATCCAGAAAGGTGCCGGGGCCGGGCCGGGGTGTCTGCCCGCCACGGGCCCAGCTTCTACTCGCGCTCCCAAGGCAGGCCCGGCCTGGTCTGGCCCCGGGGGCTGGTGCCGGTGCCGGTCCTGCCCACGTGGGGCGGACTGGCTGGGGCAGCAGTCCCCACCCCCTCCCCGGAAGGTACCGCCGGGCCCGCGCGGGGATTACCCCCCACCGCCAGGGCTGCCTGACATCCAGACTTGCCTTCCTGGCCTGGGCCGCGGGTTAGACCTTGCCCGTCCTGCCTTGGACAGTGCGGGATTCCTGTTCTGCCTGCCTGCCGCGGGCCCTTCCCTGGGAAGGGAGGGGGGAACCAGGGGTTGCCGCCCACCTGCCTCATGCTGGGAGCCACCTCTGGGCTTTACCCCCTGTAAAGGGCTTCTCCCAGTGGGGCCCAGCTCTCCTCCCAGGTGTGTTGAGTAGTCCTCAGCGCCATGCTTGTGGGGCATGGGGCTGAGGGGGCCATCCTGGCCCATTGGGACCAGTTCCCTGCAGTTCCAGGCAAAGCCAAGAATCCCTCAGTGTCACTGCTTCAAAACCTGACACAATTGCAGGGTATGACACCAGAGACACCCTTCAGCCTGCTGATGGTGAAAGCAGGGGAGATGAGTGACAGGCGTAACTTGTTAACATTTGTTCAAAATATCCTTGGAGAAGGATGCTACCTTCTCACAGTCCATGCTAATCTGCCTGAGGAGAACTGTTCCTTCATGACCCCAAATTTGGCAATTGAACTGATTTTTTTCTGACTGGAAGAGGAAGATCCTCCAGTTAAAAACCTGGCTTTCTGAGTACTGGCAGAGATGTAAGCACATCAATCAAATACCCCCAGCCTTAGCTTTCATTTGTGGAACCTCATGTTGAGCCCCACTGGCCATCTTCTCTCTTCCTGCTCTCCCCGCTTTCCTCTCCAGTGTGCCCCTTGGATTATGCACCTGCTGGGCACCCATGTTACAGCTGAGGTCTGCCTTAACACAGGACCTGGATCTGCCCCATGCTGCCATGTTGGCCATTGCTACTACCTTGGCACATCTTGTGATTTAAGAGCTGAGAAGCCTCTGTTATGAGGCCCCTAAGAGCCCTCTGGTGATATGCCCTGCAGCACAGCTCCTTGCACCTTTCTTCATAGCAATATTAGAGGTCACCCAGAGAGCTACCATTTGCCCCCATTTCTGCAGTGTAGACAGGACAGCAAGAATCCTGGGTAGTGCTTTGTTCATGGTCCTGGACCCCAGAAAAGCTATTAAACTCCCATGGTTCAGGGGTTTGTTCCTGGGTGTCAAGATCCATTCCTCACCATCGGAAAGGTTGGTACTGAGACTGGAAGCCCTGGTGCCCTTTCTATGTTGATCTTTGTCCTTGGTTCTGTTCCTGCTTCTGCACTAATCACAAGCTGGATTGATTCCTTCTTGCATCTCCAGTAGTTTTGTGGCAGTCGATAAACCCAGGGCTTGCGTGGTTCTTGGTAATGAAGGCCAGAATCTTGGTGACAGGGTTTAAATATGACCTCTCCCCTCTTCCAAAATGCCCTATCAAGGACCTAGTGAAACAGAAAAGTCTAGCAGTGTCAGTCCTGTCTGTAGTTTCTGATTAGCCCTGAAGCTTCCCTGATATGTTGGTCTTCCCTGAAACATCCTGTACAGAGGACCAGGCCTAGTCCCATATGGGTCCTTTTTTTTTTTTTTTTTTTTTGGAGGCGGGGGGAAAGCAGTGAAATGGGGCTGGTTCTTATTAGTTTTAGGGTATGGTTGATGCAGAGGGTTGGGGTATCCTTCAGGAGGCGAAGAAGAATGGAGAACATAGGTTCTCCACCCTGGATGTTTGACCACTGGGGTAAACCTTCCTCAGTCTCTGGCCACTAGTTAGTGGCATAAAGAACAAAACTGCTTCTTAGCACCTAGAGGTGGGATGACAGGCCTTCATTTAATAGGCTGCTGGGAAGAGATAACAGAGACTAGGTGGGATAGCTTGCATGACGAGCACTGTCATGGATGGGTTCAGGAAGGACAGGCAGGGGAGAACAGGAGGAAGAAGACTTGCACTTTATGTAAAAGAGCCATATGATTGCTCAGAGCTCCAGTATGAAACTGGAGATAAGCCTGTTGAAAGTTCTGGGTTAGGGTCAGCGGAGAGTGCAACAAGGATAATGTCATGGTGGGGGTCTGCGATAGGCCACCAGACCCGGAGGAAATGGTGGATGAGGCTTTCTTCAAACAACTAGTGGAAGTTTTCTGATCACAGGCCTTGGTTCTCATGGGGGATTTCAATCACCCTGATATCTGCTAGGAGGATAGTATAGCAGTACGTAGGCAATCCAAGAAGTTTTTGGAGAGTCTTGGGGACAACTTCTTGGTGCAAAAGCTGGAGCAGCCAACTAGGGGCTGTGCTTTTGTTGGTCTGCTGCTCACAAACAGGGCAGAATTGGTGGGGAATGTAGTAGTAGATAGCAATTTGGCAGCAGCAACCACGAGATGATCAAGTTCAGGATCCTGAGGAAAGGAAGGATGAAGAGCAACAGAGTAAGGACCCTGGACTTCAGAAAAGCAGATTTCAACTTGCTCAGTGAACTTATGGGCAGGATCCCCTGGGAAGCCAGTCTGAAGCGGGGAGGAGTCCAGTTGAGCTGGCTGTACTTTAAAAAAGCCTTGTTGAGAGTATGGGAACAAACCACCCCGATGTGCAGGAAGACTAGCAAGTATGGCAGAAGACCAGCTTGGCTTAGCAGGGAACTCTTCAGTAAACTAAATCACAAAAAGGAAGCTTATAAGAAGCAAAAACTTGGACAAACAACTAGGGAGGAGTATAAGAGTATTGCTTGGGCGTGCAGAGATGAAGTCAAGAAGGCCAAAGCGCAGTTGGAGTTGCAGCTAGCAAGGGGCATGAGGGTAACAAGAAGGGTTTCTACAAGTATGTCAGTAACAGGAAGAAGGTCAGGAGAAGTGTAGGTCCCTTACTGAATGGGGGAGGCAACCTTGTGACAGGATGCAGAAATGGCTGAAGGACTCAATGACTTTTTCACCTCAGCCTTCACAGACAAGGTCAGCTCCCAGACTACTGCATTGGGCAGCACAGTTTGGGGAGGATATGAGCAGCCAACAAAGGTGAAAGAACAGGCTAGAGACTATTTGGAAAAGCTGGACATGTACAGGTCCATGGGGCCAGACAGGATGCACCCGAGGTTGCTGAGGGAGCTGGCTCATGTGATTGCAGAGCAACTGGCCATTATCTTTGAAAACTCATGGCGATTGGGCGAGGTCCTGGATGATTGGAAGAGGGCAAATATAGTGCCTGTATTTAAGAAAGGGAAAAAGGAGGATCCAGGAAACTACAGACCAGTCAGCCTCACTTCAGTCCCTTGAAAAATCATGGAGCAGATCCGCAAGGAATCCATTTCTAAGCACTTGGAGGAGAAGGTGGTGATTAGGACGAGTCAGCATAGATTCACCAAGGGCAAGTCATTCCGGACTAACCTGATCGCCTTCCATGATGAGATGACTAGCTCTGTGGCTGTGGGAAGACCAGTGGATGTGGTATACCTTCATTTTAGCAAGGCTTTTGATATGGTCTCCCACAACACTCTCACTAAGTTAAGGAAGTACAGGCTGGATGAATGAGCTGTAAGGTGGATAGAAAACTGGCTGGAGCTTTGGGCTTAGAGGGTAGTAATCAATGGCTCGCAGTCTAGTTGGCAGCTGGTCTCAAGTGGAGTGCCCCAGGAGTCGGTCCTGGAGCCGGTTTTGTTCAATATCTTCATCAATGACCTGGAAGACTGCAAGAGTGCACCCTTAGCAAGTTTGCAGATGACACCAAGCTGGGGGGGAGTAGTAGGTATGTTGGAAGGTAGGGCTAGGATTCAGTGACCCAGATAAATTGGAGGATTGGGCTAAAAGAAATCTCATGTGGCTCAACAAGGAAAAATGCAAAGTCCTGCACTTAGGACAGAACAATCCCATGCACCAGTACAAGCTGGGTGCTGACTGGCTGGGCAGCAGCTCTGAAAAAATGGCTTGGGGGTTCCAGTGGACAATAAGCTGAATATGAGCCAACAGTATGCCCTTGTTGCCAAGAAGGCTAATGGCATACTGGGCTGCACTGGTCAGAGTGTTGTTAGCAGGTACAAGGAAAGTGATTATTTCCCTGTATTCGGCACTGGTGAGGCCACATCTGGAGTACTGTGTTCAGTTTTGGGCCCCCCGCTACAGAAAGGATGTGGACACATTGGAGAGAGTGAAGTGGAGGGTAATGAAAATGGTGAGGAGAGGCTGAGGGAACTGAGCTTATTAAGTCTGGAGAAGAGAAGACTGGGTGGGTTTAATAGTAGCCTTCAACTACCTGAAGGGAGGTTTGAAAGAGGTTGAAGCCAGACTGTTCTCAGAGGTGGCAAATGACAGAACAAGGAGTAACGGTCTCAAGTTGCAGCAAGGGAAGTTTAGGTTGGATATTAGGAAGATTGTTCTCACTAGGAGGGTAGTAAAACATTGGAACAGGTTACTCAGAGAAGTTGTGGACTCTGTATCCTTGGAGGTTTTCAGGACCTGGCAGGACAAAGCCTTGGTTGGGATGTTCTAGTTGGGGCTAGCCCTGCTTTGAGTAGGGGGATGGACTAGATGACCTCCTGAAGTCCCTTCCAACCCTAATCTTGTATAATTCTATGATAAACCCGTGGGTCTGGGAGGGGAGTTCCAAGGATTGTCCTTTCAGCTTGTGATTAAGGATCTGGGCTTTCCCCAGAAAGGAGGGGGGGGGGCTGCATTTGAACAGCTGTAGAGTGGAGATTCTCCACCCCTCCCATGTATGGCCCTCCTCTGGTTTGTAAGACAAGGTATGAGTCTTGGGTCCTGCTCACTGTTCACCTGCTTCTTTTCTATGTATAACTTGCTCAGTGGTGGTGGTACTACCAGTTCCACAACATGTAGCTTGATTCCTAGGCCCTTCTATGCTACTCTAGTCCTGGAATCAGTCCCCAGTTTTTCTAGGGACCCCCAATCCTGATCTCAGTACTGAAGTTCCCAGACTCCCTTCCCTTTCCTCCCCGCCCCCCCTCCCAGGTCTTCCAGGGCACTTGTTTGCTTGTGTCCTGATCTGGAATTTGGATCTAGCTCTCTGGTAATGTTCTCAGTTTACCGTGCTCTGAGTGATGAAGGATCCCAACTTGGATTATCCGTATATCTGTTTCTGTGTGGTATGCTTCAATACTGACCTGATCTTTCTGTGATCTCAGCACCCTTCCTTCCTCAGAAAGAAATGACACTGTAGTGCATGTTGAGCCAGCCTGCGGGCCTGCCTCACCCTGTTGAGAGAATGGGGCCCATGCTGGGGGATGGGTAAAAGTCCCTTCCAGGAGCTGCTTTAAATGTAAAAAAATTAGTTTTCTGTTGTATCCTCTCTGGGATCAGGTGAATTGTATCTGGATCTCTTTCCACTGAGAAGGAACAGCATGTCTTCCAGCCCCATTCTATCCCATCTGAGGGCAGCAATCAGACCAGAGTTGTTGTTTTCCGTGCTGTTTCATGTGTTCATACCTAACCCCATTCAAATGTCCCAAGGGCCACCTCTGTCTTTTCATGGGCCCTGGGTATCCCAGTAGGTTCCACCTCACTGTCAGGAACCTGATAGAGCATGGATTGAGGCAGAGCTCTCCATCACCAAGGGGCAGTGGGTGGGGTCAAGGAAGGGATCCAGGCTTATTCTTTTAAGATGACTCATTTCTCTGCTTCTCCTCCCACAGACATTAATGAGCTGAATTTACCGAAAACATGTGAAATAGACTTTTCTGACCAGGATGACCTCCTGAACTTCAAGTTAGTTATCTGCCCTGATGAGGTGAGTGGAGGGGCTGAGCTGGGAGGGGGCAGCTACATGCTACAATTGGCTCTTCTTTTCCTGCTCTGGGAAGCCCTGGCTGCTGCTTATCTGATTTGGCTTCTCTTGGCAGGACTTAGTTCCCTTTACTAAGATCTGTGGGGTAAAGCTAAGCCCCAGGCCCCTTGGAGTTGACCCCTTCCCTCCTCTTTCCCCCCCCCCCCCCCCCCTTCCCTTGAGTAGCCTCTCTTGCTAAAGTTTCTCTCTTGCAGGGCTTCTATAAAGGAGGGAAGTTTGTTTTCAGTTTCAAGGTAAGTCTCATCTTGATTGTTTGGCCTCCCCATGAGAACTGGCCCAGAAGAGATGTGTTGTCTTAGGCTAGGGATGAACCTTAGAGCCCTCATGTTGGACCCTCCCTGCAGTGTGTCTGACCTGGTGTGGAGAAGAGTAAGAGAAGAGTGCTGACTTGGAGTTGTCTCTGGTGCCTCTTAGCCTGGTTGGAGGGACTGGCCCTGTCCTTGCTCTAAAGGGTGAGGGAACCAGCCTAGAGAGCTGGCAGCTTGCTCATAGTTGTCCTGTCCCCTCCTTCTTTCCCACCAAGGCCAATGTGGAGGAGGACCCAGGAATCCAGAGGCTGGCCCAGCCACCAGCACTTCCTCCACCTTTCTTTGGTCAAAAGGAGCAGGCAGCCCTAAATTCAGGGAGAACTGTGAAACCTGGGGTTCTTCCAAAGGCCCAGTCTTCTCGCACCTCTTGTGTGTCAAGGGTACTGGGTGGGTGTGCTGAACATTAAAACTTTCTGTCTGAACGATGAAGTTCTTGTGCTGAGCTGCTCTATGGAAGGGAGGGACTTCTGGGAAATAACTCCTGTCTGTCTGTAGGTAGGACAAGGTTATCCACATGACCCTCCAAAAGTGAAGTGCGAGACGATGGTGTACCACCCCAACATAGACCTAGAGGGCAATGTCTGCTTAAATATCCTCAGGTAGGGTATGTGCCTGCTCTGGCATGGTGTGGGGAACCTTTCCCATCCCCCTCCCAGACAGTTGCTGCTAGGAGTCATGGCTTCCACTCCAGTGCCACTACTGTCCCCTTCCACACAGGCTGAGGGAGGAATCTATCAGCTTTACAATTCTTTCCTCAGAATTGCACCTCTGGGCTCCATGTGCCTCTTCCATGTGCTGTGGGGCAACCCATCTCATCTGTCTATCAGGTCCTGGGGAAATCCCCCTCTGGTTTGGCATTACTTCCTTTTGTGCTATCATGTCCTTCCCCTCCATACGGGGTTGGCTTTGTTTCTTCTCTCTCTGTGCTTACTGTGGTGTATGTGTTGTTTTTTGTTTTTTATGCCCTGCAGAGAGGACTGGAAGCCTGTACTAACAATAAACTCTATAATTTATGGTCTGCAGTATCTCTTTTTGGTGAGTACCTAGAGTGGGGGACTTGGGGATGGGGAAGGGGCTCCCCCAGCACAGCTGGGGCACTTGGCGGGAAGGACCATGTGTTAACACACTGTTGTGGGGTACTGTGAAAGGAGCCCCCTGCTATCTTATCTGGGGTCACATAGCATGTGCATGTTGGTATAGTCACCCTGATGTTTCAGTATTGATGCATGGCTTGGAGGGCATGACTCGGGTTTTATGCAGTGGTTCTGCGAACTCCGGGAGCAGTTTTGTGCTCAGCAATTGGTTTAGGCTCTCTGCAGACTTGGGCAGCCTTTCACTTCCATGGAATGGGTGACTATCATGTAGGGTTTGTAGGGAGTTGGCAGGGTCCTCTTCTGGCAAGCCTGGAGCATATCCTGGTGGCTAGTGCTATCTGGAGCAGGTGTACGATCTGTGCTAAGCTGTGTGTGGTGTCTTAGTCTGTCATGTCTGTAAAGATCATACTGAGGGTGATCTAATTGGGTCTGTGACCATAGCGATGGCCCTGTTTCCTGGTTCATCTGCACTAGTCCTTGGTGCTGCTCTTCTACTGCTCTACTTCCACTCTTGGTGCCCAGCAGCTCCTACCAGCAGGGCTCCAGCAAGGCAGGCAGGCAGGAGGTCAACCTATCTCTAACCTCTTGAAGCAGCTTTTGGAGAGGTCTGCCTCACTTTGAACATGTGTGTGGAGTCTTTTCTCCAGTGTTACGTGGATGTATCATGTTTTGACAAATATGGAACATTTTGAAAAGATCTGGAAGCAAAGGGAACAGGACTTCTCAGTGCAGAGCAATGCTGCTTCATGCATGAGTGTGTCCTGTGCCAGCCCCACCTCTCTGGCAGCATTTGAAGTCCTTAGCTACCCTGAAGGACCTTGGCCCAGTGATATCTGCATGGGTCCACAGGCAACTGAGAGCAACTGACTTTATTTAAATTAGCTGAATAGGCTGTTGACCCTGAAACCGAATGGAATTAGTATGTTTAAAGTTATTGCCATTAATACTGAACTCTCTTTATAGGATCATTTGGTAAATATGTGAATTCCCTTAAATGCTTTAAGGCAGTTAATTTGAATGTATTCTGCCCCTAGAATCATCATCAAATTGAATTTAAATATCCAGGGGCTGCTCTGCTAATCTAGTGCTTGCACTGAAGTCAGTACAGCCCACCGGTTCCGTCATCCTCTATCTTAAGTGTTATGTAGCTATAACTGAACAGCTGCATCTGACCACCTCACAATATGTTGTTAGCTTATGTGAGGCAAGGCAGTGCTGCTTTCTTTGTTGTAGAGGTGGCAGGCAGCTTGACAAAAGTTATGGGCAGTCTGTGGCAGAGCCCTATCAAACCTTGGGTCTTTCAAGTTGCACACTAGTTCCCTAACTATACTGCCTCTCTTAATACCATGAAGCCAGATTGGATTTCCAGTGCACTCCAGATGGTAGGTCCTGCTTGCTGTTGTATCCAAATGGATTTAGCCTGAATTCTAACTTTCAGTATTTCAGAACAGTTGTCAAGATAAAGTTGAAGCTTTTTTCCTAAACTGACCTGTCCTGAACCTTTTGTTTTTAAAGTATGTCTTTCTCTGTTGAAGTGTCTTGAAAACAAAAAGGATTTCCTTGCATTTTACACATCCAGAGGGGACCACTGGATCATGTTAGACCTCTTTCCATCACAGGCAGAGAATGCCATCCAGTTACTTCTATATTGCCTCCAGTAACTTGCATTGAACTGCCTTCAGCCACCTGAAGAGGGGTTCCAAAGGGTATGGAGCTAGACTGTTCTCAGTGGTGGCAGATGACAGAACAAGGAGCAATGGTCTCAAGTTGCAACAAAGGAAGTTTAGGTTAGATAAAAGGAAAAACTTTCTCACGAGGAGGTAGTAAAGCACTGGAACAGGTTACCTAGAGAGGTTGTGGACTCTCCATCCTTGGAGGTTTTTAAGACATGGCTAGACAAAGCCTTGGATGGGATGATCTAGTTGGGGATGATTGTGCTTTGAGCAGGGGATTGGACTAGACCTGAGGACCCTTCCAATTCTAATTTTCTATGATTCTAAAGCGTTTCCAAGATCAAGTATCCAGGCCAGATCTGAAGATCATTGGGGCATGTCTTCCATGATTCTGTGCTGACCCTAGGAGTACTGCCATGAAGCACACTGCTCACTTCCACTTGATACATGCCAGTGTGGAGACTAGGCTGCTGGTTTAGTAGGACCTCCTGAGTGCACACTAAGAAACCCAACTGAGAGGTGTTCAGGCTTATTCTGAACTATATAAACTAAGCTTTGATATTTTCTGCCTGTGAGCAGGTGGGTGGGTGGGTAGGGTGGGGGATGCTTCTTGGAGGCACTCCCGGGGGTAAACATGCCTGAGTAGTTGAACATGCTGCTGCTACTGCTGTCCTTGGGAGTTCATTCCAGTTGTGAATTGCCCTTGCTGTGAAAAAATGTGCCTTATTTTTAACTTGTCCTCTTGTAACAGCTTCCAGCTGTTGCTAGCTTTGTCTTTGCCTGCTAGATTTAAGAGCTCTCTAATACCAGGGGTTTTCTCTCTCAGGGGTATTTTAGTCAAGTCACTGCTCAGTCACTGTCTTGAGAAAGCAAATGGGTGAACCTGTTAGTCTCACCATCCTCTCAAGCTCTCAGATATTTTTTGTGGCTTTTCTCTGCACCTATTCCAATCAGTCCACATTGTCTTTTAAAGTGCAGACACCAGAACCAGATGTAGTGTTCTGGCAGTGATATTGCCACTGCCATGTGACGTAAAATTGGTATTTTACCTTGAAATTAGCCATACCCAGACTCCTCTCACTGCAGAGACTGCCTGGAAAGCCTGGGAAAACAGAATAGATGAGCCATTTTGGAGAAATCTTGTCACTTACTCTTTCAGCGTGTCTTTCTGCACAGAGTAGAAAATTATGGAGTTGGAAGGGTCCTCAGGGGTTGTCTAACCCAGCCCCTTGAATAGGTGCAGGATTTCCTGTTCCCAAACCATCCCAGATGAATGCCCTTCCAGCCTTAGAAATATCCAGTGAAAGAGATTCTGCAGCTACCCTGGGCACTTTCTTCCACTGTTTTTCTGCTTTTACAGTTGGGAAGTCTTGTCCATCCTCCCTCCTCACCAAGGTCTGATCAAAATCTGCTTTGTTGCAGTTTGAACTCATCGCTTTGTGCTCTGTGTTCTTTGCGAGAGAGAATCCATTTTTCTTAGTCTTTTTTTTTTTTCTTGACTACCTTTCAAATTTTGAAGAACTGTTATCTGCTTCTTTCCAAAAAAATCCCCTTTTTTTCCTAACCAAACATACCAGAGTCCTTCAGTTGTATGATGTCTGTTGGCTTTGCAGCAGGAAAAAATGGCCTTTTAATATTGGTCTAGTGGGGAAATGTCCAACCAACTGAACCATTTCTGGACACCGTATAGGACAAGGATTAAAGCAGTTTCTGTGAACTGAACTATTGCTGACTCTGCAAACTCCAGCCAAAAGGAGCACAGGCCTGGGGTTTTATCATGTCCAAGATCTTGCAATATGCTCTGTTAGTGGAGTGGAGTAATATTTTTATGAATGATCACCATCCTGTTATGAAATATCCTGATTACATGGTAGTGTGGGTTTATCAGTGTGCAAGGTGGTATTTTTAACTGGCATGACTGCTGATGTTCAACCCTGCTTGTATGAGTAGTATCATAGTAGATGGCTCTGTTCTCTGCCAGTGTTGCATGGGGATATAGGTGCAACCTGTCCTTTAAGTAGGAAATGGGATGCTGCAATTGTGGGTGCTCTTTGCATGCTGAGTAATGCTGTGAAGACTGGGTGATCAGTGGTGGAGTCGGGTACGGTGATAAAGCATCACATGGCAGTGGGAATGTGTTGGAACCCTTACCTGTCTGATTCCAGATACCCAAATAAATGCTGGAAGGTGTTTTGGGTAATTGATATAATTTTTATGCACAGTGGGGAGTTTCCATAGAAACATACTCTCACCCTCCCCTGGTCTCCTAAGCATAGTCTTTGCTTTGGAATCACTTAAAAAACACCTTGTGCTGAATGCTTTCTCTGGCTGGGCAGCAAGCCATGCCAGGAGAACCTTCCTTCTAATGTGATTTGCAAGGGGAGAGGGTCAAGCACAGAGGTTTGCTTTTTCTTGGGTGCTGTCCATGGATGATGATCAGGTTGGAAATAATTCTTATTTTTGTTAATTTCTTGTGGTGGTAGTTGTGGGGGAAGAAAAGGGCAAAAATATTGGAGCTACTTCTCAGCTGGATGAATTATGGGATATCTAAGGGAAGTTGCATACAAGGGTGTCAAATGAAATGTCAGTCAGTCACTGGAATTAAGTATGCATTTTATAACCTAAAATATTAATTAATAATGAACACCGACAAGATTCCAAACAATTTAACAAGTGCCTGGTAGGCAGTTAGATTGGTAGAACTCAGTGGGCTTGTTTAACATTTATGCTCCATAGTTAAGCTGTTTATGATCCTTAGGAAGGATGCACTTATATTAGTATAATTAATATAGCTACAAATAAATAGATCGATATAGCTGTGGTGGCTATGTGCCCACAGTAAGGAGGTGGTTTACATTATACTGCTATAGTTAGAGGGACAGTTTGCTGTAGGAGAGCAGTTATATTTTGATCTGAAAGAATTTGTCAAAGAGAAGTCATTAGCATTATTCCCATTCTATAGAGCAGTGGTTCTCAAACTTTTTTTTGTACCAGGACCTATTTGTAAATATCAGTGGCTAGTCTCAACCCAGTGCCCCTCACTCCTGACCTGCTGCCGTCCACGCCCAGCCCCCAAGTGTATGGGACATGGTGGGGAGTCCAAGCAGCCTCTCATAGGCTGGAGCTCTGCCAGCCTGCAAGGAAAAAGCCAGTTTCCTACATCTTTCTCCTTTAAAGGAGAATCTGTTTCTAAAGTTTGTTCATGCCCCTGTCATATTCTTGCAACCCACTTTTGGGTTGTGACCCACAGGTTGAGAACCGCTGCTATAAAGCAAGACACAGATGTGTAGTGATATGCCCAAGGTCACCCAGCAGGCCAGTAGCAGAGCTGAAAATATATGCAAGTGTCTCAAATCCCAGTCTGGGACTGAAAATAGCAAGGTCTAGTGATCCCTGTTTCACCTCGCCTCAAATGACTCAAGCCAAAGCTCCTGATAGTGGAGGTGGGGAGGAAGTGGGGAAGCTGAGTAGAGGAGTTGGATTTGGAAGGGGGTGTATTCTCTCAACCAAGGCTATCCTGTTAACCATCCTTGTATCTCCCTTCTAGGAGCCAAATCCTGAGGACCCCCTGAACAAAGAAGCTGCCGAGGTCCTTCAGAACAACAGACGCTTGTTTGAGCAGAATGTCCAGCGCTCCATGAGGGGCGGCTACATTGGCTCCACCTACTTCGAGCGCTGCCTCAAATAGAACTGACCAGCTGGCCGCCCGCTCCCCTCCTCCCCACCCCCTTCATGAGGGACTCTGCCAACACCGCTGCCTTCAGCCACCAGGGGATGCAGGAGCCAGGCACTGCAGGGCCCCCTAGCCCCTTCCCAGCGCTGCTCAAATGGCCTCTGCCTGGGCAGCCCTTCCTCCTCTTACTCCTGCCCTTTTCGCCAAAGCCTCCTTACCCACTGGCTTGCTGTGAGGGAGGGCAGGTGGTTGCAGGGGGTGGGGAGCCCAGATCCCCCCTTTCCTGACCATGCAGTCCAATTCCTCATGGCTTCCTGCTGGTTCCCAGCCCCCAAGTGGAGCACAGAGTCCAGCTGCCTTCCTGGGGCCCATTTGCTGCTAAGGGCAGAGAGACACCCCCTCCTCCCCCCATGCACACACATCCCTTCCTATACATCTGTGCTCTGGCACCTTCTACCTGCAGTGTGGTGGCACTGTGCCAGCTCCTCCCCTGGCTGGAAATCAAGGCCTGTCTGAGTGCAACTATTTATTACAAAGGGGGGTTGTTGCAGAGCAGGGGTGGGGGTGGGGTGGCAGCCTCTCTGCCAAGGCCCTGGGGCAATGAGCTTGGTCTGGCAGGCTTGCTCCCCCTCCCTTTTAGGTTCTGCTTCCCTTTTCTGTCTGTTTTTTTAAAAAAAAGCACCCAATTTCAAACTGAACAAATGCTGATAATTAACCATGACTGGCCTGGGGGGCAGAGCCTCTGCCTGCTGAGCCTTCCCTTCCTGGAAGGGTGGAGCCTGTGGTCCCTGAGCTCATTTCCCTCCCCCTCCCCTCCCTTGTACCCACCTGCTGGGGCCTGCCCATGAATGAACTGGTTTTCTCTGCCACTCCAGTGACTCCCAGGAGCCCCTGGCCAAAAAGCCACTGTACTCTAGTGTGTTGGGTTATTAAAGGGGAATGTTAGTGCACTTCACTGCCCAGTGCCTCTGTGCCGTATTCCTACGCCGCTGTACGCTCTGTCCAAGAGTGGAGGGAGGGTGTGCCTGTCTCTTCCTGAGAGGGGAGACAAGACCTCTCCAGCCGTAACTGGCAGGGGTGTAAGTAACATGCCCTTTGTCTTCTGCTCACAAGCCAAAGCCTAGGAGTCCAGCTGTTAGCCCTCTGTACTAGCAGAAGTGGTTGATGGTGAGGTGTTGGAGGTGACCCCTTCCTGGGGGCTTGGGGTCAGCTATCCCTTCATGCTCCAACCTCCTCTGTTTATTTTGGCTAAGCAGCTCAGGGCTGCTTCTAGTTATTTTGGCAATTGTAGTGCCAGCCTCTTCCGTGGGACCAGTAAGGCTGCCTTAGCTCTAGCTCAGACCAGGGAGGGAGTCCAGGATCCTCAGCTGCCCCTGACTATCAGGAGCTGCTGTCACTTCTCTGCTGTGAAGGAACGGGCTGTTTCTTGCCCCCAGCTGTCCACTGGACAACCCCCCGGTCCCTGTTGCAAGACTAACTGGAAGCAACACCAGAGGTGGGGAGTTTGTGGGCTGCAAAGGAAGCAGCCGCTTCCTCCCTTAACGGATCAAGACGGGGCGGCCTGAACGCCTGCCCCGAAGTTAGGGGCGGCCCTGGCGGGCCAAGGCCGGGGACTGCCTCCGTCCCGCGTCCCTCCCAGCTCGGCCCTATCCTCGCCCGCCCCAGACTCGGCACAGCCAGCTCCTCGCCGCGGCAGGGAGCAGGCAGCGCCGCAGCCGGCCTTGGGAGGTGGCTTCCGAGCCGCGGGCACCGGCCTGCGCCTGCACCGAGCTAGGAGCGAGGCACAGCCGCCGGTCCCGCAGCCTCCGGAACTCCCGGTCGGGTGGGGGAAGCCACTCTGTCCTTCCCGTCGCTGGTTTCCGGCGGGATACCATTCCCCACCGCGGGCGTTCTGTCGTCCCTTTATACTCTATGGTTTGTTCCGGCGCTCTACTCGCCTCACGTTCAATCACGTGACTCCGCGCTGTCACGCGGCTCCGCCCTTCTGATGTCAGCTGGGAGAAGGCGGAAGTGCGGGAGAAAGTGAGGAGCGGGAGGTGGGAGCGGGGTCCCGGGGCGGGACGGCAGGAGGACGGGTGGGGGGTAAAGGGGCGCCCGGCCCAGGAGCCCGGCGTGGGGCGGGGAGCAGGCGCCCCCGCGGCTGCGTTCTTTGGTGGTGTCCCCCGGCGTTAGTGCATGGGGCTGGGGTCGGTGTGGGCAGCGCGAGGCCGAGGGCTCTTGGCGGCTGAACGGGGAGGTGGGGTGGGAGTGGGAAGAAGGGCAGGGTAATCAGTGCGTGGCAGGAGGGAGGCCGAGTCTGAGGCCTGGAGCAGGGACGGGAGACCAAGCACCAGGAAGTAGCAGACCTGGCTCCAGGGACTAGAGTGCTCTGCTGACCAGGCCAAGCTGGTCTGGGCAGGAGCTGTGGGGGGTCACTGCGATGTGTGTGGCTCAGCAGGGGCATGGGACGAGAGGGGTTGGGGGGCACCTGGCAGGATAGAGCCTCTCCTCTTGAATGCCCTGTCTCCTGCCATTGGCCCTGGTTTCATATCCGTTTGTCTCAGCACCTCCTGGGCTGCTTTTCCTGCCAGAGGAGTGCTTCTTACCCCATCTTCTTTCTGGGTAGTGCCCCCTGCAACCAACTCTTCCTTTGGCTTTCTCTAGGCAGGATCCTTCTCTAACAACCCTTTTCTCTCCTGTGGGTGAGTACTATGCTTGAGTTGGTTCCCATATGTATTTGTGGTGGGCACTGTGGGCAGGGGAGAGGCCTCAGAAAGTCCCAGCTTGTGGTCTTTGCTTGGAGGCACCACTCTCAGCTAGGTTTTAGCCAGCCGGCTGAGGGGGAGTGTCCCAGGGATGTGGCCAGCACAGCCTTATTGTTCTTAGTGTTGTGGGTTGTGCTCTGGAGCACCAGCCATGGGCAAGAATCCCACAGTGCCAGGTCAGGGACCACAGTGGGAGTCACAAAGCCATGTGACAGTGTCCAGGGGTGTCATGTGATGCACCAGCAGCCTAGACACTAACAGGATTTTGGTAGGTGTCCTAGAAGTGGTGCAGTCTGAAGGAGGACACTTGCAGTGACTTTGTGGATGTTCACAAAGCATGAGGGGTCATCTGGGAAGACAGCCTCTGGGTCTGTGAGAGAATTTGCCAAGTAAATGATGAAGGTGGCTCCATGGGCCAAATGAAGCCTGAGGGGACCTCTCTGTGAAAGAGAGGTGATGGGGAGGAAAGCAAGGAGAGGCCTGGGAGGTGAAGACAAGCAACTTATGTGACATGGTAGGGGGAAGGAGGGTTGGCAGAGGGCTACTGCCATTTCCCAAGTAGCACCACGGGCTTTCTTCCCTGGGCCCTCCCATCTCCCATATGTAGCACACTTCCTGCCACCCTGTTTTTCAGTCCCTTGGTGCAGAGTCCATGTTCTGATCTTGTTTCTGTCCTGTTTGTCCTCAGGTGAAGCCTTTCCCTCCACAGCCAGCCAAGATGGACCTACTGTTTGGGCGTCGGAAGACACCAGAGGAGATGCTGCGTCAGAACCAGCGGGCCCTGAACCGAGCCATGCGGGAGCTGGACCGTGAGCGGCAGAAGCTGGAAACGCAAGAGAAAAAGATCATTGCTGACATCAAGAAGATGGCAAAGCAAGGGCAAATGGTGAGGGGCAGGGGGAAGCTGCAGGCAAAGGTAGGAGAAGGGTGGAGGGAGTTGCTATCTCCATCTCTGACTCCACCCCCAATGTGACTCCGTGCAGGATGCAGTGAAGATCATGGCGAAGGACCTGGTGCGGACACGGCGCTACGTCAAGAAGTTCATCATGATGCGGGCCAATATTCAGGCCGTGTCGCTCAAGATCCAGACGCTCAAGTCTAACAACTCCATGGCCCAAGCCATGAAGGGTGTCACCAAGGCTATGGCCACTATGAACAGACAGGTGCGTGGACTCCCGTAAACCTTTGCTGCAGGGGGAGCTCTTGGCTACTTCAGACCCTGCTTCTCCTAACAGGGGGTGCTATAGGGAGCAGAGCAGTAGGGGAAGTTGGCTGTAGGTCAAAGCTCCTGGCTACTTCAGTTGCAGTAAGCAAATGCTGTAAGGAACAGGGCAGGAGCTCTGGGAGCATGAGGGCTTTCAGCAAATTGGTCCCAGTAGGCATGCTGTAGGGAGTGGCATAAAAGTACTGGCTTTGCAGAGGGGAGCTTCTCTGTGCTCTAGCCCCACTTTAGTCAGCAATGATGTGGAGCCAGTCTTTCGCATTCTCTGCAACCCCTGAGAGGACAGAGTTATTGTGTCCCCTGCTCCCATCCCCCAGCTGAAGTTGCCTCAGATCCAGAAGATCATGATGGAGTTTGAGAAGCAGTCGGAGATTATGGACATGAAGGAGGAGATGATGAATGATGCCATTGACGATGCTATGGGTGATGAGGAAGATGAGGAAGAAAGGTGAGGAGGATGGGCTGCCTCAGGGGATGGGAAATGGGCATTGGGCCTTCCTCTCTAATGCAGGGGTGGCATGAGCATGAGGATCAGCCTCTGTGGCATGTGGCAGATCTGGGATGGAGCAGGGAACACAGTGGCAAATATGGCAAGGAGCAGAAAACAACAGTAGATTGAGCAAGGGACACAGGTCAGGGAACAGAAAGTAGAGCAGCAGATTGGGTAGGGTAAGAGTATCAGAGTGACACTCAGATGGTGTGGGGCACCAGTTGTGGCATGCCTGCCAAAAAGGCTGTCTCCCACTGCTCTAGGCTGGCTCCCACTGATCCAACCCTAGGGTAGGGGGTTTGTTGGCTCAGATTATGGGGAGTGGAGTGTGGATCCTTTTCCACCTAGACAACACCACTGGCTTGAGGGTAGAGGAGATGCTTCACAGCCTCCTAGCTGCTAAGAGTCCCACATGGGTATCAGAGCACCTTTTTCTCTGTATCTCTCTGTCCTGGGCGTGGTAGGAGAGGCTGTGGTTTTCCCTGCTGGGGAGCAGTCCTTGTGTGCAGCTTTAATCCTCTTGTCACCCTTCCCCACCAGCGATGCTGTGGTGTCTCAAGTGCTGGATGAGCTGGGACTGACCCTGACAGATGAGCTATCCAGTAAGTACCTGTCTCAAGCTAGGCTATCCCCCACCTCTCTGTTGTATGCTGAAGTACTGGAACATGCAGGATGGTAACTGAGCTCACCTGCTTTAGCTCAGATAGACCCATTGGCCTACAAGTATGTGGGCAGGGTGTCTGCTGGCTGATCCTGCCAACCTCCTATCATCTGCCTTGTGGAGCAGGTGGGCTTGGGAGTAGGAGGCAGCTTGGGGCAGTCTGTGTATGTGCACACCCTTTAACCCTTCTTCCCCCGTCAAGAGCATGAGGGGGATTTCTGGAAGCGGGAGGGGCTGTGGGTGACTAGAGGTAAGCTTGAGGCACGCCAGCCCTCTGGTTGTCATCACTCCTCTTCCTGCAGACCTGCCTTCCACTGGAGGATCACTGAGCGTTGCAGCTGGGAAGAAGGCAGAGCCCTCAGCCACGCTGGCTGATGCAGATGCCGATCTGGAGGAGCGCCTCAAGAACTTACGCCGGGACTGAGCTTCTGTGGGAGCTGGGTTTGCACTCCCTGCCACCCCCCCACCCCCATGGTGTGGTGCTCCAATACATGCATACTCCTGTCTCCAGCAAGCCCACTCCCACTGCGTGTGTCCTACTCTCTGCTGCCCTTTCACCCCAACCCAGCCTTCTTGGGGGAGCACTATCCCTGTTTGCCATAGGGGTGGGGGTGGAGCTGATACTGCTGGAGTTGGGGCAGGGAAAGCCTCTTGCTTGTTCCTGAAGGGGGTTGGCATGCTGTCAGCCCAGGTGTGTGTGTGTTTGCGTGTGTGTGATTGGGGGTCCCTGATATGGGGAGTAAGTGGGCATGGTCAGGGGCTGCCATGTTTGCTTATCTCTGGGGAGGGGTCATTTTCTGGGAGCGGGGGTTGAGCTTTCAACCTTTCAGTTCGTGGCTCAAAAACACTAATGGGGGTGAGGTGCGGGGTGTTCTGTGACTAGTTATGGTCACACTTCTCCAGGACCTGCACTCCTGCTCCTCTATCCCATGTGGCAAGAGTAGGGTGGGCATGGTAGGTGCTGCCTCAGTCCAGTAGGTACATCTCTTCACCCAGTCACTGGAGGAGGGCCCAGGATGAGTTTGGGGATCAGTTCCTGTGGGGGGAGAGGGAGAGCAAGATATGGCAGGTCCCTGCCCTTCCCAGGTGCTACAGAGCAGTGCGTTGGGGCGTGAGCTACCCTTCCTCCCTGTGCTGAGTATGGTGCCCTTGCCTGGCCCAGGCTGCAGCATGCTCCTTGGCATGGGATACAGGTGGTGGCTGTAGGCTCCTTCGCCATCTCCTGGCCAGATAGAGGCCTATCCTCTCTGTTGTAATAAAGCTGTAGATTTGTATCCCAGGTGCTGGCTGGCTGGTTCTTGCTCTGCGGATGGAGCAGGTAGGGAGGGGTGTGCTTTATAGCCATCTTTTCGTTGCTCTGCACCCTTGGCCATCTTGGCAGGTGCAGCTCAGGACTGCAGTTCTCAGTTGGTCATGCTCCCATGTCTCTGCCTGCCTGAGACACAGCACTGCATGCTGGGAAGTGTTTGCATGGGGTTGCAGCCTGAGTAGGGAGGGAACAGGCTCTGGTCTAGGGTTGCTAGTAAATTATCAATTGGAGCAGAGGTTGGCATGCAGGCCCCCACCTCAGCTGTGGGGGTGGGGGAGGGTCTGCTCCTTACTGCCCCTTCCCGAAGGCTTCACCTGGCCTGATTTGAGGTCAGATGTGAGCACTGTGCTCTGTCAGTCTGCCCTCCTGTCCCATATTTTTTATCTTTCCCGACTGGAATAGCTGAGACAACCCCACTCCCCCTTCCAGCCTACAGTCTGGGAAGCAGGAGTGGAAAAAGCCCTTTTCACTCCTTCCTGGGCTCTCTGCCTTTTCCCAGCATAAGCTGCTTTCTTTAATTAGGTGGGAGCTGTGGGATCTGTTAGTCTCCTCCAATGGGTAGGATCTTTATCCCCTCTACTGGGAGGCTGCTTTTCTGCTCTGCACACACCTACAAGGTATTTCCTTTCCCTAGGCCCTAGGCCTAGATCCTTTGCCACATTTTGCACATTTGCATCCTATAACATTTTGTGGGAGAAGGAGTATTGATGAGCCTAGGTCACTGCTGTCTCCTTGTTCTCAGCCCACCAGCTTCCTCCCTTTGGTTTCCTCTGCCTCCCCAACTCCTCATGTGGGGTGTATGTAGCTGTGCTGCTAGGGAGCTTTATGCAAGACAGACTGCCCACAGTGGGTTGGGAAGGGGAAAGGGGTTCTAGGGAGAGGGAGATGGGGTAGGAGGATGGGGTGTTATGGGTGGGTGAAGGAGCCAAGTGGTAGATGTTGGTGTAGCATAGAGAGGATGTAGACTACAGGGTTTGGGTGCTGAGTGCAGTAATGGGAACAGGGATGGAAAAGAAGGAGGTGTTGCGAGGTGCAGCTGAACCCAGTCATAACACAGACTCTGCCCAGGTTAAAATGTATAGATTTTATTGCAGTGGGGACCTCCATGGCCCCAATCCACAGCTGCCACCTTTTCTTGGTATTGCACTGCTCCTTGCACTCCAGCCCTTTGTTCTTGTAGCTGGCCCCCACTGTGACCCCTTGAGGAGAGGACAGCAGGGGGCCACGTGCCACTCGGCCACACCAGGACCTGCAGGAGATGAGGAATCTTGGAGCATTACATGAGAGCAGGGCAGAGGCTCCTCAGCTTGTTCAGCCCATTCTCCCCATCACTGACTGGGGCATCCCCCCAGCTCTGGAGATCCCAGTGCCCTGAGTCTGGCCACTGCTGAAGCACTCCCTGTGCCTATAGTCCCCAGGCAGGTCCATGTTACTCGAGCAGCTCTGCAAACTGCCCTGGGTTTCTGGCATTGAGTGGCCCCAGGAAGTTGTAGGAGCTTGGCCTCATCTCCAGAAGCCCTCTGGTTCATATCTTCTTTACTCCAGCCCTTGACTCTTACAGCTCAGTGGAGGGGGCTGGAGCAAGTCTTCCCTTCCCTCCCACTCCTTTCTCAGGATATAGATCATAGCACATGGCCAGGCCATCCACCACCCCATAGTAGCCATCAGAGGCACTGCTTCCTCCCTAGGCTCACTCCCTCGTCTGGCAGCCAGTTGGGGTATTGGGAGAGGTGCCAGGAGTTTGGCTGCTTCTGTGCAGCCTGAACTGAGCGAGATCAATTATCAAGGATCAAAGGAACAAGACTGCTAAAAAAAAAAAAGATAACTGGGAGCAGCAAGAAGAGTTGGTGGGAGCATGTCAGCTCACAAGAGGCTGCAGGCTTCAGCTGCCTGTGATGCAGCTCCGAATCTCGCCTCCCAAGATATGCTAAATAGCAAATATTTTGTGTTAATGAGGCTGGGCCAGACAATATGGAGTGCTTAGTAAAGTACTGAAGACTGAAGGGGAAAGGCCAGGGTTAGGGTCTGGCTGAGCTGTGCTGGTTAGGATGGACATCTCTGCTTTCAGTCATTTGGGTTAATATTTTGTCAGAAAAAAGTCATTGAAACATTTCAACTGTGAGGAATGCCCTTTCTCCCTCCCCTCCCCTCCCTGGTAAACAGACCCCTGGAACAGACTTCAGGTGCATTTCTGATGCCATCACTGTGGAGACAGCTGCTTGGCAACTGTTGCCAGGGGTTCTTGGTCTGCCTTGTGTCTCCCAGGTGGCTGTGGGTGAAGCAGAGTCTCTCTCTTGGTGGAAAGGGGAGACACAAGCCCAGGCTGCAGGGCAGATGGTACCTGGACACAGCCTGCCATTTTGGGGTGGCCCAGGGAAGTAGCAGGGCCAGCCAAGGGATTGAGAGAACAGTGCAGGATGTGGGAGATTCAGCCTGTCTCATGGCTTCTCCTTTTGTTGATGAGTATGTCCCTCTGCTCCAGCTGTGCTTGATGGACAGACAGGTACAATCCCCCTTCACCTTTGGCTGGCTGGGAGCTGACTGGGCTCTAGCAGTCAGCACTTTGCATAGTGCCACATTCTGGGGGCAGCTAGTTCCTTGGTAGCAGGTGTCACTGGGCTAAGGGCCAGATTTGAGAGTGCATTAGGGTGTCCCATCCCTGATCTACTGGTGCCCCTCCCAATCTACTGCCCCCTTCTTTCCCAAACCTGGGTTTCTCCCTGCCCCCCCCCCCCCCCCCCCCAACACACATACACTCCCACTCTGCTTGTTCTGTCATGGGGGGGCAGGGTAGAGGGGAAACTCACCACGGGGGGTCCTTTTAGGTTTTGATCCCCAGGGCATGCAGACACTTGTGGTATGATTCCAGCAGCTCCTTGCATGAGTCCTCTCCCTTCTCCTTCACACTGCAGAGGTGATTGGGACTGGTCTGAAACTCTCCCTCATAACATCCATGAGCCCACCTACCCCAGTATCCTTCCCACTCCTTGCTGCCCCGGATCAGTCCCAGAGCATATCCAACCTCATATCTTCCCTATAACTTCCCGTCAGCCCCATGCAGCATGTTCTTCCTTTTCAGATATTGCCCCTAGGGTCCATCTAACCTACTATGTCCTCCCCACCCCTCTCAGACCCCAATGGAGGCTGTACAAGGAGATGGCTGGCTGGATAGACAGATGTGTGGGGGAGGCAGTGGTGTGTACACGGAGGAATGTATGGCATTTATGGTATTTCCTTGTCTTCTGAAGCAGGTTTCTTAGTGAAGGAAGTGGACGGATCTAGCCTGAGTCCACTTTGGCAGACAGAGCGGGTGTTTCACTCCATTGTCTGTTTGCTTGCCTCACCATATCCTGCTCCCACTGAAGTCCGACTCTGGGCCCAGAGGTGCCCAGGGTCTGTTTCTCCTCTCTGTAACCTGGCACTAGACTGTGTAACTGGTGTTGGACAGGTCCAGAATCTGTGTATGCTCTGGCTGCCAGCTGCTCAATTCTATTTGAGCCACCAGGTGGCAGCAAAGAATAGGTAATAACTGAGGCTGGGGTCAAGGATCAGAGTCCCAGCCCCTGGCCTTGGGGTGGCCTATGCTTCTGCTATCCTCCTTCCTTGAGTCCAGTCCTAGATGCCAAGTTTATCCTTGGGGTGAGGCTGGCACAAGTATAGGTGCATCAGGGGAGATTTCCCCTCATTTGCAATGGCTTTTGGGCAGAAAGGTGCCATGGAAAGGCATGCAGTATGTCTGCAGGGCTGGAGCATTAACCTCTGGGGTGCCACCTGGGCACAAACCCAGCCCATGAGGATAGTGTCCACCCACATTGCAGAGAAAAGCATCCAGCAGGACTTCTCCTCAGGGGGAGGGTCAGGGACAGAGGGCCCTGAGAGAGCAGACTTGCTTATGGGACAGGCATGGGACTGGAGGGGATGGGAGCATTCACATCGCACCAGACTGTATGGTGTCACGTTCGGGGCCCTAGGCCCAGCACATGGATAATGACTGAGTTTTGGTCACAATCAGAGCTCTTAGAAGGATGGCACCTGGGATCCATCTGAGATTGGGCCTGGGCAGCAGGGAGTGGGAGCTCCCAGATGGGGCTGAGCCTGGGCTAGGTGGAGGCTTCTCTGAGGCAGTAAGGGCTGCAAGAAAGAGCAGGCTTCAGTATTGCTCCTCTAGGATGGGAAGGAAGGTTCTCATTTGGGATCCCAGTTTGGGTGTCTGAGATTGACACCCTTGAGAGCCACTGGAAAGATTCCCTGTCCCCTCATTTACTTCATGGGCATTGACCAGGCTGTGGCAGGGGCTGGGTGCCCCACTTGTATGGAAGCCAGGACACCTAGATTTACCCTATGCTTCTGCCATCCTTCTTGCTTGAGTCCAGTCCTAGAGGCCAAGTTTATCCTGGAAAAATCAAATGGCCAAGTGGGGAGGATAAGTGGGGAACTTGTTTGGGATGTAGGTTCTGTCATGTCCTTGTACCATTTGTCCTGGGCCCCACCTTAGGCACCATGAGAAGGCAGCCCAGACACTGGTGCTGGAGCATGCACCCATGGGAGGCTGGTGTGAGGAGGGACTGAGATGAGCTGCCTTTTTACATCTTCATTAGGGGCAGAATGGGAAGAGATGCAGGTCCAGTCAGACCATGCCTTAGAATTAGGCCTGCAGCAGACCCTCCATGGCCAACTGCAGCCTTGGGGCTGGGAAGGAAAGCTAGAAGGCTTGGCCCCGGTCGTAGCCAGTGACACCACCTGAGTCCCCAGAAAGGCTGTGCCCACTGCTCAGAGATGCAGTGCTGCCCCCCTTTTATCTTCATTCCCTGAGGCCCCAAATTGCTTGAGAAGGTGTGAGCTGCCCAGACACTAGAGTTCCTTGGCCCTCTATGAGGGAGGCCCAGGCCCTGCTGTGCCACCTGGGCTGGGGACGATACAGGATGGTCAGTGCACCTGTTGGGGGTGACCAACAAAGCCCAGGCCAGGATCATCCCTCTACCTCCCCACTCTCCCTAACCCCAGCCATAAGCTGTGTCTGTACCCAGTTAACAATGCGCCACCCTCCCCTGGTTTCTGGGAGAGCACATGGCAGCCCTGGGGCAATCATGCTGCAGCTGGCTGGGATGCTAGTGCTGGGTTAACCCTCTGTTTGCCAGGAGAAGCAGGACCTTGGCCCTAACCCAGTGCTACATTAGTCCCATCCCTGTGCTGTATTAACTCTGTCCTTGCTGGGATGGAGCAGAACACACTGATCCTACCTTTGTGCCCATGTATCATAGGAGCTCTCTGCCCCTGACTGAATGAACTCAATCCCTGCTATGGATGCCAGTGCAACTGCCTCCTTGTTAACCCCCTTCTTGCCAGCCTGAAGCATAGACAACCAGTAACCATGCTGGACACCTTGGGAGATACTCCATTTACCCCCCTCCCTGCCAATCTACAATGCCAATAGCTACATACTCCATTTAACCCCCTCCCTGCCAATCTACAATGCCAATAGCTGGTAGCTCTGCTGTTGGAGATGACAATGTACTGCTTAGCTTCCCTCCTACCCTACCCCAAGTTAGCCTCCCTCCTGACATGTTGAGTGTAAGAGTTGATGGATTCACATACCTGTATGTGGACAAGTTATTGGGGCTGGGAGCCAGGACTCCTGGGTTCTCTCCTGGCTCTGGCAGGGGAGGGGGGACAAGTGGATTACAGCAGAGGAGCTGGGTGCCAGGACACCTGAATTCTGTTTCCTTTTCATCAGCAGCATTTAGCTCTGGGGCTTACTGATATCTGGTTCCCAGCCTGGGACATGGTGAGGCCTGATCCTTGGTGGACAAATGCCTGACGTCCCCCTGCTTACACTGAAAGTTGTGGTGCCCAGTGCCTTCTAGGTCAGTGGTTCTCAATCTTTTTTGTTCCAGGACCCATTTGCAAACATCAATGGCCGGTCCCGGTCCAGTGCCCCTCACTCCTGGCCCTCTGCCCCCTGCAGCACCTTGCAGGCTGGAACTCTGCCAGCCTGCAAGGGAAAGGCCATGGTTTCCCAGGTTTTTCTCCTTTAAAGGAGAATCCATAAGTTTGATGGTCCATTTTTAAAGTTTGTTTGTGACCCTTTCATATATTCTTGCGGCCCACTTTTGGGTCGCAACCCATGGGTTGAGAAATGCTGTTCTAGACAAGGACATATGTAAACAACTGACTCCCCAGCCCATGTGGAGATGCACCTGGTCAACTAGCCTTGTGCCTCAGTTTTACCCTGAACTCCCAGACTGGGTCTTGCCCTGTCTCTGTCCTGCTAGGGCTCGGCCAGAGCTGGCAGCAGCACTGGCTGTCTGCACAAAGGAGAGGAGATGGCTGGCTCAGGGGATGCTGCTCCTACTGCTGTCAGGGCATAGAGGGGCCAGGGCCTGTCATGAACAGATGAGGGAGGCAACAGGTAGGATGCTTTTGAGGGATGATTTAGGGTGACAAGCTGGACTGTGAGCCCAGAGAGGGAACCCTGGGGGCCCTTCCAGCAGACAACGGGTACAATGGGGAATAGGGAGGGTCAGCTGGGAGCTGGTCCCCACAGCCCAGGAGACTGGCATAAGGCTATGACCAAAATAGGGTAAAAGTGGGATGATGTGAGTTCATGTACCAGCAGAGAAGAGGTTAAAGGCAGGGGATGGGCAGTGGAGGATATGGGACAGACAAGGAGGGGTTAATGTCCCCCTCCTTCCCAGGCTCCTCATTACCCCTGCCTGGCCGCCCCCAAGCTCCTTTCTCTGGAGCTAATGAGGCCCAGGCTGAGTCAGCAGCAGCATCCAGTCCCAGTGCCCTGCCCTGCCCCACAGCTGCTCAGCCCTGATAACCAGCTCTGGAGGGCGGAGGGATGGCAGGACAGGGGAGGGAGGCCTGGTGCTGGGGGGAGGTGGCAATGAGGAAGGTGTGTTCTTTGGGGGGAGAGGGGGGCACAGTGGAGTGGAGGAAGCGTGCCAAGGGGGCACCCCAAGTAGACCCTGGGGGTCAGTTGGGAGGAAGGGGGTATTTCCAGGTGACTCAGTGAAGGAGGTATGATTGGGGACAGCCACTTTAGGTCACCCCTCTGCCTATGCCAGCCAATTCAGATCTACTACCTCATTCCTTTCCCTCGCCCCACCCCACTAGCTCCCTGCTGCCATGGCAACATGCCGGCAAGACCCAAAATGGGTCATTGCAGCAGGGATGCACAGGGGTCACGTGGATGCCAGCCCTGCAGGGCCGCATCTCTACAGCAAGCTCTGCCTGGGCCTGTCAACTCCCATTATGCCAGCCGCAACCATGTAGGGGTGGAGGAGGGCAGCACAAGCAAGGCAGGGATGGGAAAGGAGGAATGGGAGCCAGGACTTCTGGGTTCTTGATAGCCTCTTGCCTCAGTGCTGGGTGGGAGTGAATTCCGGTTCTGTGCCGAGCAAGGGACTTGCCTGTCAGGACTGACAGTACAGCCTGCATCCACAACTTTGCTCCTAGTGTGTGTGTGCCGCAGAGGTAGTAGAGGCTCCATGGCACCATGCATTAGCCCTAACAGAGCAGAGCGGTTCAACCCATGAGGGAGGGAAAGCCCTGACAGGGTACTGAGCTTCCGCAGTGAGGCAGTGGGCATGTGCAAGGTGTCTGCTGTTGATGTCACTGTATTGATAACATGGAACCAAAGAGCTGACAGCATGACAGTGAGCAACCAACTGCCAGCCTCCTTGTATTCCCCAGCCTGAATGACGCAAGGGGCATGCATGTCAGTGGGCATGTAGAGGGAAGCTTTAAGAGTACAAAGGCATGTGTGTGTGCGCAGTAGAGCTATGAATATCTGAACTGTGTGCAATAGGCATGTGCAGGCTGACCACAGGGGTTGTGTGCACAGGGGCTGCAGGGATCCTGGCCTTAGCGCGGGACTGGACCTTGTTGGATGTGTTTGGCTGTGGCTGGCAGTGCACTGTAGCCCTGCATGCATGCTGTTGGGGCTCCCAGGGGAATCCACTGCTAAGATTAGCCTGGCAGCAGGAAATGGGAGCAGGGATTATATAAAGCATGGCAATAACTGCTGGTCCTACAGAGCAAAGTGCCTCACCCTGTCTGTGCAGAGGGGGAGAGACAGTGATAGTGAGGAGCCTGAGACATGCTCTCAACTACTGTCACAGAAAAGGCTGGGCCATATCCTAGGTGTCCAGGCTCCCATCCTATTCTCTACCTGCTAGACCAGTGATTTTCAACCAGGGTGCTACAGCACCCTGGGGCGCCCTGAGATCCTTTCAAAGGTGCTGTAAAGTGCTACACTACGTTAACACTGTTAGGTTTACAAAAATGGTTCACAAGATAAGCCCAGAGTTTTTAAATAGAAATCCATAGTTGTGGTCTTCCTGAGTTCTTTGGAACACAAAAAACTGTTTGATTATTTTTCTGTAGTCAAAAACCTTGTGAAAACGAAGGGCTAGCATTTTCTGAGGAGAGCCATGAGTCTATCCAGGGGTGCTTTGGGTGTAAAAAGGATGATAATCACTGTGCTAGATCCCACTTCCGTGCCAGAGTTGAGATAGAGTTCAGGAGTTTGGCTCCCAGCCCCCTGCTGTAACTGCAGACCTCCAGATCCCTGCAGAGCAGGGTCCAGACCCTGTCCACTCCAAGAGTTTCAGAGGAGCTGAGCTGGGATTTCCTCCACTCCTGCATGTGATGGATGGGAAATGGAGTTTATTTCAGGCCCCATCCCTGCACCCATCTTCCCTTGGGCCTGCTCCAGATCCTCAGGGCAGGTTTGAGGAACAGGTTTGAGAAGGAAGGGCTTTGTGTGGGTAGAGGCCCTGGCAGATTCATGAGTGGCGGGGAAGGCTCCCAAGTTAGCTTTCCCTCTGCCCCTCAGCTTTAGGTTGGCTGGCTTCCAGCAGCATTGCCTGAGGACAGTTCACTGAGTTAATCCCTTAATCTGACACAGCAGAAGTGGGAGGAGGCTGGGCAGGAGGCTGCAGCCAGAGCTGATCTCTGGCAGGTGGAAAAAGCAGCGCAGGGAGTGGGGGGATGCCTGGGCCAGAGGGTGGGTCAAGATGAGGGGGGCAGAGACTGGACAGAACCACTACCGGTGACAGGACTCACTGGCAGGACCCTCTGAGTCCGTCACCCTAAATGAGCCCCTTGCCCAATACTCTCCATCCGCAGGCAGCCTCTAATCTGTCTGACCCTACTGCCCAACTCACAGAGGATCCTCAAATCTTGTGAGTTCTGACTCACCCCAGTGGAGGGTAGCAACATGGGGGGTGGGGATGTTGGGGGGCATCTTGAAGCCCAGTCACAAGCCAGTCCGGAGCGGGCCTGCTAAGATCACAGACAGGTCCTGCCCGTCCTTTGGGTGCTCTTGCCTGGACCCAACTTCACTCAGCCTGTGCTGGGCAGGGGACACAGCGCTCACCCCACATCAGCTTCCCATCACACACAGCCAGGAAGCAGCCAGACACTGCCATCACCTGGGGTGCACTGGGCCACCGCACATAAAGCAGCTGCTAACAGAGGGCATAGCTATATGCCTCTCCCCCCAAACAGGGACCCTCCCCCCTGCCTCATGTCTCCAAGCAGAGATCCTTGCCGTGCTCCACAGAGCCCCACTCCACCATCCAGACTAAGTTCCCTGCCTTGAACCATGGAGCCCCATCCATACTGAGCACCCTGCCAACACCACGTAGAGTCCTCATGCACATTGAGCACCCACCCCAGTGAGCTTTTATGCACGCTGAGATCCTTATCTCCAGTCCCAATATTTTGGAGAAGGTGGGGTGCCAGCCTTCTCCCCCGCAACTCCCAGGCTGTGTCCACTTTGCCCACGGCAAGACCCATTAGCACTCACCATTTCTCCATGGCTGTTTTGAGTTCGGCACAGGGTGGCTTCCCGTTGGGTGCGTCGGGGGTCTCGTCCTTGAGAGCCTCCCCTGTGCTGGGACTGTCTGACATGCTGGGCTGTGTGTCTGTCTAGCTGTGCGCCTGTCTGCGGGCGCACCAAGCTGCCTGTGTCTAGTGCAGTGGGAGCAGTGCCAGGCAGCAGTGGGGGTGGTGTTAGGCGGGGAGTTTGGGAGAGGCTGGACGGAGCTTGGTTATTCAAGATATGTCAGAACCACTCCAGAGTTCATGCTCAGACTCTTGGCCTGGGCCTGACACTGCCCTCCCCCCCTACCATTCCCCCCTCCAGCTGCGCCTGGGTGGGGGACCAGGATCAGCCATGTGTGCATGCGTATGTGTGTACCAGGAACAGCCGCACACGGATGCATGTGTATGTGTGTTTATCAATTTGCTCAAATCCACACTGACCCAGAAAAATTGTAGCCGTGAGATTAGGCCAGGCACAGGCACATCCCCATGCGTCCCCGCCTCCTCCAGCCCTGCTGCCTTGAGTCCACTCTCCCTCCCCACACTTGCAGCAACAGGCAGTAGCTATAGGCAGTGTGCCCCCAGTGCCATATGGGCTACAGACACAGCCACGAATCTGCTAGTCACAGGATGGGGGTGGGGAGATGGAGGGGAAGGGATTCATGGTGTCTCTGGGAGGGGTAGGGGGGCATGGCACCTTGCTGTTCAGGACTCGTGGGTGATTCTGTGTGCAAGTTTTAAGGGTGAGTGTGGAGATTGCAGGAATGTTGCCACAGGCAACTGGTAGGGGGGTCACAGGGTGGGGCACATGCCCCTCACCCCAACAGGGCCATTCTCACTGCTGACGCCGGCATCCGTGGGTGCCCCCCAGACTCAGGAGGGACCAGTTGCCTATGAATGTTGCTGTGTGAGTGGTTGTGTGGGTGTGTGGGGAGGGGTGTGGATGTGTAACTGTTTGGGTTAGGATTTGTTGAGCAGAGGGTGTCATTGTGGGAGTGTTGGTGTGGATGTGTGTAAGACAGGTTGTGTGTGTGCACACTTGTAGAGTGTTGATGGTGGTGTGTGTTTTTGTAAGTATAGGAGGCTGGTGAATGTGTGTTCAGGTTTGCGTGTTGCTGTGTGGAAGAGATCTTAATGTGCTTATAGGGGGTGCATAGGTTTGCCTTTGCAGAAGTGTTTTTAGACCGTGTATGTGTGTGTTTGCAAGGGGGTGCTGGTCTGCATCTGCGTGTGTGCATGCGTGCATGTATGTGAATGTCCGCGAGCAAACTTGTCTGCGTCACCCTGAGGCTACAATTTTTTCCAGGTCACTGTGGATGTGAGTAAGATGATAAACACCACACCCTCAATCCACATCTCTTCCAGGGGCCTGTCTGGCTGTAGTTGCCATGTAGGGGGGAAAGGGGTGGGGGAAAGGAAGGGCAAGACAGTGTCTAGCCCAGGCCAAAGGAGAGGGGTTCTGAAGAGAACCCCAAACCTCTCCACCCCCCAGTGTTGCAAGCCCTGATTCACCTTATGGGTGGGGCTAGTACTGTAACAAGGAAATTTGGTGCCCAGGGCAAGCCTACAGCAGCAGCCAGCCCTTGCTCCATGCACAAATCTAGGAGGCATGCGCTCCGCCATGCTTGCCCGGGAGTGCATGCTGTTATGGGAACTTCCCTTCCCCATCCCCATGCTCCACCAGACGAGCCTCTCGTGGCTCTATCCCATGTTCTGCCCCGGCTGGGCAGCGCCTGTTGGTGCCCTTTTGCTTCATTGCCCGTCATGTGCCCCCACCCTTGCTACTGTATTGGGTGGGGCCACACGATAGGTAGCCATCACAGCCAATCAGCAGTGAGGGATGGGGGGCTGACAGCCATCTTCCTGGCAGCCTTTCCAGCAGGCAGCCCCTCTTCCCTCCTTCCCTGTGCCAGCAGGCTGCTGCAACACCCTGAAAAGCCACCATGTTTAATTTTCGGGGCGGGGAGGATTTCCACGGATTTTGTTGTATGAATTCTCTGTGTGCTTATGTGAGTCTGCATTGACCCCCAGTGGCCTGGCCAGGAATATGCAAAGTGCAAGATATGCACTAACATAGGGACTACAGCACACCCTGGGGACCAGACTAGGGCTAGGAAATGTGAGCTCCCTGATGCAGCACCCCATAGTGGCCACATTGTGTCTGTACATTGGATGTTGTGTACACTAATGTTGGGGATGCGGAGCTCCATGCTAAGTCCATACAGTCTGTTTAATGTATCTATTATAAAAAGCATTCCTGTCTCTGAGCCTGCTCAAACTCCAGACCCTACTTTCTGTCGCTGATGGGTGTACAAGTGCCCAGAAGGGGCCTTCCAGTCTAGTTACATTATATGAGGTTGTCCTCCAGGGCCCTGTTGCACTGCGTGTTGCTCCCAGACCTACTGAGGCCAGGACCCTGTCAGGTCAGGTGCATCTTAGACATAGTCCATGTCTACAAAGTGAACTCTCCATGGCCTGCAGCACTATCCTTTGCTCCATGTGGGCTTCTTGCTGACCTGGAAGCAAGATAAAGGCCTCCATGTGGCAACATGGGAAGGATAGCTTAACTAGAACTGTTACTGGCAGTGCTAATTAGCCTACATGATGGCAGCTGTCCTAGGCTGAGGACAGACTGTGCATAGTAGTGTGCTTGAAGGCATTGTCTCCCAGCACAGTAATTTTGCCCCACGAACATGACCACAGAGGACACAGGCAGATATGAATATTATATTGAGCTCAGAGGATACTGGTACAGGCTGTTACCACGCAACTGTTACACAAGCGTAACAAAATCAGTCCAACTTAACCCTGCTTCATCCAGGGTCAAAGTCAGACTGACTTAGCTCCCGCTATAGGCTCATATAGGCATAACATTTACAACATAATAGATGATGTGCATTCTGGAGCAGCAGATGGCCTTTGTTACTCCTTATAATTAGCACAAATTATTTAGGCTATAGTTTAGGTTGAGACAGAAAGCTAAGGAAAGAAGCAACAAAGCTAATAGTAACTGGTGAAAGAATATCATAAGCAAAAAGATTTTAAGATGTACATGAAAAGTTGAGTAAGCTAGGTAAGTCAGTTTGCAGTTACCTAGAGATAGCTTTGTGATTTTGTGCCATTTAGATCTAGACTTATTGCAGAAGTAGTTTTATACTGGTGACAGAAATAAGCATGTTTCCTGGGTGACAAATAAGCTTTGCTATCTGATTGCCATGTGTACCTGGTTATACCGGAACAGAAGTTGCCTTGCTATTTGAGAGATTTCCTCCCTGGCTTGACTCCCTCTTTGCTCAGGCACCAAGCAATGTGCCCACAGGAAGTTTCCCTCAATTCATTCTCCATGCCTTGATCATAAGTAGAAAGGAGAGACCTGGGATGGTACAGACTACCCACGTGCCTGCTTGTGTCATTGGTCCTTTTGGGGGCTCCTCCTCTACATCCCATCCACTTGTCAACCGTGGTCGGTTGATGTCAGTGTTTCCAGTCCTAGGTGGACATGGCCCGATGCTTCTGAATCCCTTAGAATGTGGGATGATGCCAGACCCGTAAGCAGTTCTGGGCAGACACCATGTGGGTTTTTATAAATTAACACAGTCTGAAATTCATTCCTTCAGTTCTTAAATAAATCAAGTTCAAAATTAATTCATAGGCTCACGTGATTAGATAAAGTGCCTGACAAAGTCACCAGTTTTCTTAAATAAATCAAGTTAAAAAATTAATTCACAATGTGTGACAATCAGGTGCTCATCCCTGATTAACTCCTGGATGTTCAGTCATCCTGGTTCCAATTAATTCACACAGCCAATTCAAGTATTCCAAGCCTTACTCACCTCCGAACTCAGGGCTCTTTATCCACATCTCAAAGGCCTCTGATCTTTCAAATATTGACAGCTTCTTTCAAAGAACAGAAAGCTTTAAGGACATATAACGACTTTGCTGTGCCCGAGCACCGGGCCACAGCCACTGTTGCACTCACATACTCCTTATTCCAGTGTCAGGGTGCCAGGATCTATGAAGAGCTCTGGCCAGTTCTGGATCTCCGGGTTGCTGGATACCCCTCTGGGGGGGAACCAGCTCAGTTTCTTACCACTCTCGTTGCTGTGGCATTGCATACAGTCACGGTACTCTACTCTTCCCCCATGCTCTGCTCCACTCATGTTTTTCTAGCTCACTCTAGGCACGCATCTATGCTGTCACGTCCTGCATGCCCCTGTAGCCTCACAAAACAGGTGCTTATGAATCATGGCCGTGGAACTACTCATCGCTCCGTCTTTCCTGGCTCCATACCTTCAGGTAAGTACCATCCATTTCCCGCCCTTACCAGGTAGTCTATTATGCATCTTCAGCATCCTGCCACCAGAAGTGGAGGCGAGCCCCAGCCCCTGCTTTCTGGCGGAATCCCAGGACCTGCACATCAGGGAGCAGCAATGGTAGCTGACTCCATTGTATGGGGCTTTCCCTGGTGGCGTGCAAGTCCCAGGAGGTGCATGTGCTCCACACAGAGCCCTGTACAATAGAGGCAGGCCGGCCAGCCAGCCAGGCTGCACTCCTTGCCACCATGTGCAATGCTGGCTGGAGTCACATGCTGCTTGGTGTCAGTGGCTGCACAGGCTATGAATGCCTCAAGTGCCTGCTGCTGCTGTTGCCAGTGGCGGGCGCTGTTTGCCATTGGGGGGAATGTGTGGAGAGTCCCCACACCAGGGGTGACTGGTGCCTTCTGAGTCTGGGGGGCACAATATGTGGGCAGGCCTGGGGGAAGACCAAAAGCCCCATATCCACTCCTATACTTCTGTGCTGTGGCAAGGCAAGGCCAGCTCCCAGACTACTGCACCTGGCAGCACAGTTTGGAGAGGACATGAGCATCCAACTGTAGCAAAAGAACAGGTTTGGGACTATACAGAAAAGGTGGACATATATAAGTCCATGGGGTGGACAGAATGCACCGAGGGTGCTGAGGGAGTTGACCAATGTGATTGCAGAGCCACTGGTCATCATCTTTGAAAACTCATGGCAATTGGAAGAGGTCCTGAACAATTGGAAAAAGGCAAATATAGTGCTCATATTTAATACAGGACAAAGGAGGATCCAGGGACTACAGACCAGTCAGGCTTACCTCAGTCCCTGGAAAAATCATGGAGCAGGTCCTCAAGGAATCCATTTCTAAGCACTGGGAGGACAAGAAAGTGATTAGGAACAGTCAGCATGGATTCACCAGGGGCAAGTCATGGCTGATCAACTTGATTGCTTTCTGTGATGAGGTGACTGGCTCTGTGGATGTGGGAAGACCAGTGAATGTGGTATACTTTGGAGTGTAAAGTGGATAGAAAACTGGCTGGAGCATCGGGCTCAGAGGGTAGTAGTAAATGGATCTCTGTCTAGCTGGCAGCCAGTCTCAAGTGGAGCGTCCCAAGAGTTGGTCCTGGGGCTGGTTTTGTTCAATATCTTTATCAAGGAAGATGGTATAGAGTTCACCCTCAGCAAGTTTGGAGATGAAACCAAGCTAGGAGGAGTAATAGATAGCTGGAGGGTAGGGTTAGGATTCAGAGATACCTAGATAAATTGGAGGATTGGACCAAAAGAAATATC